ATCTATTGATTTCAGGGAGAGAGGAACATCAATGATGAGAGAGTGATCCGCTGCCTCCTGCACACCCCCAACCGGGGATTGAGCCCGCAACCCTGGCATGTGCCCCCCACCGGGAATCGAACTTCAATCTCCTGGATCCTAGGTTGAAACTCAACTTCTGAGCCACACCCGGCCAGGCCATTTGAGGCACTGTTTTAAAATTTGCCATGGTTCCAGAGATTATGATTAAGCTGGTCTGAGGCACACGTGTGTTTTAAGCTCTCCGGTGACCAGGGCCAACCCCTGCCTGTTTGAAGTCCACTCAGCTTGGGTGAGCTCATTCTGGTCACAGTGGCCAGTTCGAAAAGGGCAGGGGTGCTGTTCTCACTTCACCTCCCTAACGAGGCCCTGGGAGGTCTGTTCAGCCTCTGCCTCGGCGGCTCACCTGCCTAGGTCAGCAGGCCTCTGGGGAAGCAGCTGGAACACGCTGTCTAGCTGGGTGCAGACCAGCCCAGCAGGTTCGGGTTTTCCACCGCGCCCAAGTGTCGGCACTGATGGCCCCGAGCGAGCGTTTGCAGTTGATGGCTTCCAGTGGGTGCGCAGGCCTTCCCCCTCTCCCACCCACTCCCTCTCCCACCTAGTCCCAGCTCTGGAGAGGCTGCCCTGCCCCCCATTCAAGGTCAATCTGGAGGGCATGACACCCTACCCCTCACCAGGAGGCAGGCCCCTCACACTTGGGGGCCCTGGTCTCGTTTCCTCCTTTCCTTCGTAAGAAAACCCACAGTTCCCAGTTGTGACTAATGTTCCCAGGGAGAAGCTAAGTCCTCATAACCAGTCCTGTGGGAAGCCTGGCAAGGACCAGCAGCTGTCGCCTTCTGTGCTGTCGACATGGGGGAAGAGGGGACCGATGTCCATGGCACCAGGCTGTGCCCATCAGGGAGTTCCCAGGGACAGCCCAGGCTGGGGCTGCATGGTCATGCCTGTTATCAGTGCCCACTGAGGCCCCACACAATTGCTCCAAGTCCATTTTCCTCTGCAACCAGCAGTGGCCGCTTCAGAAACCAAAACCCTTACCAGGGCCTACGGGGCAGTGTGTGATCTGGCTCTTGCCTACCTTTATATTAAAAAATAAAGGTATTATTTTTTTATAAAGGTATTTTTCATAAAGTAAGGCTTTTTGGGGTGTGATTTACAGTGATTTTCACCCTCACTGGTATACAGTTCCATGAATTTTGACAGATACAGCTGTGTAACCACCATTGCAATCGAGTGTTTCCATCGCCCCAGAAAGCCCCTTGCACCCCAGCCGCTGATCTGCGCTCTGCAGTTTTCAGCCGTTCCTTCTTGTCACTCCCCTGACTCGGGTTTGCGCTTGCTTGATCCCCCTTCAGTCCCCTTTCCACCACGGTCCCTGATCTCAGTTACTGCCCCTCTGCTCAGCAGCCTCCCTGAGTTCCCCCCTTTCTGGTGGTTGCCCTTCAGCCCTCACCTCAGGTCATTCTCCAGGAAACACCCCTGCAACCCGCCCATCCCCCTCCTACAGCCAACAGGGGCCTGTGTGGGATCAAAGGCCCCTCACCTGTTGGACTCCAGACCCCATGCAGACAGGCGCCTGTGTGTTTTAGTCATCGCTGTGTCCCCTGGAACACAGGGTGCTCCATCAAAATGTCTCGAATGAAAGAGACCCTATGAGAGAGATCAGTGGCCTCCAGCCTTCTGCGCCCCAGTGCCCCAGCTCTGGGCATACTCAGATGAGACGGCCCAGTCAAGCTCAGGGAACTGTGACCTAGACTGACAACCAGGAGGAGAGACGGTGACACAGGACAGGACTCCTCTCCTGGCCCTGGGTGTCTGACGGCATGGGGCCACTGTGGGCTGTCCACAGGTGTTTGCAGGTGTTTTCAGACTCCAGCATCCACCTAGTTCCTGGAACCAGGAATCTGGGAGTCTCTGCGGGGTCTCCTGTGTCACCAGTGTCTGCCCCTGTCGCTACCACTCCTGAAACTGGCTGCCAGGGCCCAAGCCTCATCCCTTCAGGACCCCTAAACTCCACTCCCCTCTCCCCAACCCCAGGCAGTCCTTTACCCCGCTCTGGACCTGTCCAGCCCCACCCCCCACCCCCGCTGGCCCGCTTCCTCTGGTCACACCACAGCTATTTTCAGCTGCAGAGCCCGCCCCTCTCCTGCCTGGGGCCTCTGCAGACCCTCAAAGAACTGGAGAGAAGCGCCTCCGCTTCCGAGACTTTATCAGATCTGCGCTCCCCCTCCGCTTCCTGTGGGCTGACCTTGCCCTACTTTTGCTCTTCTCCAAAACATCCCCTAACCTCGCCCTGTGCATCCTTGGGCGTGGACTGTTGCCATCTGCCCGCTGAAGTGCCATTCTCTCCGGGCAAGGGTTTCCCTCTGCTTTTGTTCACGGACTGCACAGTGCTGGCACACAGTAGGTGCTCAGTAAACACGTGCTGCTGATGGCCTCGCGTTCCTTCCCTGGCTCCTCTCCCCTCGGGAGGGCGCGACGGGGGCCCTTCCTCCAGGAGGCCCGCCCTGCTGCGCCTGCCGGGAAGAATCACGCTGCTTTCAGTCCCTAGTGCTCCCCAGGCGACAACTACTGAATGTTGCTCCCTTCTGCCCAAATGTGTCAGTGTACCACCCTCTACAAGCTCGAGGAACGCCGGCCTCGCCTCTCTAGTTCGACGACCGCTAGCTGCACCGGTTCCTTGGGTCGGTGATTTGAGAAGCCCGGGGACTTACAGACTATTAAAGACAGATTTGCAGCGTTCCGGGACTGTTTTCACTTCTCCCACCCTTCTCTTCCACGGGGCCAGGACAGATCCCAGACCACAAATGGGTTCTTGGGCTTGCTGCCCCGCAGCCCTGCGCGCCCCGGGGGCGGGGGCCAAGACCGGGGCCGGCCG